CCCTAAACCCTAAACCCTGCAGGTTTCGGGTTGCGATTTTGGCTTTGGGGTCCCTAAACCCTAAAGGCCAAGCCCGAAACTCCTCCTAGGGTTTAGGGTTTAGGGTTTAAGGTTTAGGGTTTAGGGTTCAGGGTTTAGGGTTCAGGGTTTAGGGTTCAGGGTTCCGGGTTTAGGCTAAATCCTAGACTCTTGTTTGTGGTTTCGGCGGCGGGTTGTGGTCTTCACGCTTCGGTCAGGGGCGTGGAGTTTAAGGGGCTTAGGATTTTTGGGTTTATGCCCGGCGTTGCTTTTCGGTTTCGGTTCCCTTCCATGAAGCAGCTCCACTTTTCACGCTTGTGGCCCGCCATTGAGGAGATGTGGACGAAGAAGAACCGGGACAGATTGCGAAAGACGCTCTTCGAGCATTCTTCGGTAGCATTGCTCGGTGGCCGGGTATGAGGATGCACTTCCGGGTGCTTGACTTGATGTACGGTTTCGGGTTTAGGGTTTGGGGTTTAAGGTTTCTGTTTCTTTTTTTGCCTGTCTTTCTCTTTCTCTCTCTGTCTCCCTCGCTCTTTGGGTGCATCCGTGGGTACGTGCAAGTCTAAGATACGTGCACAGGTACTGGCAAGACATGGTTTCCAGAGTTAGTCAGACAGAGCTGCACAGGTAGCTGCGGGGGTTGCCTTGAACGGGATCTTTGCAAACAATCTCTGAGGTAACAGTGCCACGAACCAAAATGCGGTGCTCTGAAGCCCTACAGCGGTAAGCCCCAAGCCCTAAACTCTAAACCCTGAATCTGAAACCTGAACCTTAAACCCTAAAGCCCCAAAATAATCAAGCAGCAAGGATGCAGGATTTTCGGGTTCAAGGTCCAATGTTGTCCGGCCACCTTCGGCGGCCCCTTCGGCGGCCCCCCAGCAAGGTCGTTGCTGATTGTAGCAGCTCGCTCGTTTGTAAAGTTAAGGGTGTTTCTGGTGTCTTCAAGGCATTTCCAACAGCTTCCGCAGGAGCCAAAATTAGCCTAATCCCTAATCCTGTCATTCAAAAACCCTAAACCGAAACACCGCTTTAAATCGGATATCCAGGCCGCTTGTTTGGCACGTTTTAGGGTTCTGCAAGTTTCACTGTAGAGTTTTTGCAAAAAGGGGCCGTAGTACTGTGGTTGGACCATCGTTTTAGGACGGGCTTTAAGGGTTTAGGGTTTAGGGTTTAGGGGTTTAGGGGTTTAGGGGTTTAGGGGTTTAGGGTTTAGGGGTTTAGGGGTTTAGGGTTTAGGGTTTAGGGTTTGTTTTACAGGTTTTTCGCCCCTCTGCAGGGCTGGGGTTCTTACTCTCCTTCGAGCTCTAGCGATACTTACAACTTACCCCGTTACTAAGTGCCTTCATGCCCAAACCCTAAACCCTAAAACCCTAAACCCCTAAACCCCTAAACCCTAAGCCTTTAAACCCGAGAGCTCTAAAGCCCTAAAGCTGTAAAGCTCCAGAGCACTAAACCCCCAAACCCTAAACGCTAAACCCCAAACTTAAAACATAAAACAAGCCCTAAACCCTAAACCCTAAACCCTAAACCCTAAACCCAGGATCTTGGTCGAAATCTTGGTCGAAAACCACCCGGAGTATGTGAAGGAGTCGGACTCTAAGGAGGTCTCGGAGCTCTTCGAGGCACCCGAAACCCTAGGTTTAGGGTTTAGGGTTTAGGGTTTAGGGTTTAGGGTTTAGGGTTTAAGGGTTTAAGGGTTTAAGGGTTTAGGGTTTAGGGTCTTAGGGACCTTAAACTGAACCCCAAACCCCAAACCTAAGCGTTAGGCACATATTGTGGTTCAGGGTTTAGGGTTTAAGGGGTTTCGGGTTAGGGTTTAGGGTTTAGGGTTTAGGGTTTAGGGTTTAGGGTTTAGGGCTTAGGGTTTTAGGGTTGAAGGAGTTTCGGGATGTGTGTTTGTGGTTTAGGGCTCAGGGCTTTAGGGTTGGAGGTTCCTTTTCGGGTTCCTTCTCGGGATTTAGCAGAGTTACTGCAAGGGTACCCGGGGGATTTATGGTTTTAGGGTTCGGGGTTTAGGGTTTAGGGTACCAGAGGGATTTAGGGTTGGGGGTTCAGGGTTGTTGTAGTTTTATTTGGTTCTTGTTAAGGAGCTTAGTGTAAGTTGTCATAATGAGAGCTATCGTAAATAATGAGGTTTCCTCATTATGGCAACTCAAATTGAGGTCCTTAGCAAGAATCAAGTTTACGCCGACATGCCTTTCTCAGGGTGTCTGTCTGAAGAGTTTGGTGGGGGAGTTCATCGGGCTTTTGTGTGTTTGTAGCCGGGCGTCTTGGGATTTTGGAGGTTCTTTTGCTTGTCGCGGAGACCTTGGGTTTGTCAGAGTTTGAACCAGGGTTTAGGGTTTAGGGTTTAGGGATGAAAGACTTAGGGTTTTATCCTAAGGCACAGACCCTAAACCGTACACCCTGAACCCTGGTTTTGGGGTTGAGGGTTTATGTTTGGAAGGCCATAGACCCTCAAAAAGGCCGTATTGGGAGTTGAGTCGGAGTTGAGGCATAGGGCATAGGGTCTAGGACCCTAAACCCTAAACCCTAAATCCTAAACACTAAACCCTAGACCGTAAACCCTAAACCCTATAGGTGGGGAGTGGCCTTGCCCTCCCTGGGGTACAGGCTGAATGAAATCCACGTCTACTGCAGTGCAGCCGAAACCGCAAGCCCTCCATCTTAAACCCCCCAAACCCTAAACCCTAAACCTAGACCCTTAAACCCTAAGCCCCTAAACCCTAAACTTTAAACCCGAAACCCTACGACGCATCCATCCATAAAGTCTAGACCATTCAACCCTAAGTTCTAACACCAGACCCGAGACCCATCCACTTGCATGCCACCTTCGAGGATGTTTGGGACCAGAAACAGCTGGACCTGCAGGAAGATGCGACTTTGGGGTGGGAGCTTGATTTCGAGTTCAGGGGTAAGGGACTTCAGTTTAGGACCCCGAATCCCAGATTTTGAATGTTAACTCCTACTTCCCAACCCTACTTCCCAAACCCCAAGTCCTCAAGCAGGGACTCTGGAGCTGGAAACCGTTGCGGTTTGCCTTAAGCCGTGGGAAACTAAACTCTCGATGCGCGCCTAGCCAAAGCCTAAACCCTGAACCCTGAACCCTAAACCCTAAACCCTAAACCCTAAACCCTAAACCCTCAACCCTGAATGCATAAACCGTAAGCCTAAAACCGCTGAAGGTCTTAGTTGGAGGGGCCCCGCGGACCAGGTGTGGATTCTGAAGTTTAGGGGAAAGGGCTTCGGGGTAAGGCATTGAGGGTTTAGGGTTTAGAGTTTAGGGTTTAGTTTAGGGTTTAGGGTTTGGGGTTTTGGGTTTAGGCATCGAGGGTTTAGGGTTTAGGGTTTACCGCAAAAGCCCGAAGGACTTGGCTCAGTTGAGGGCCGGGGCCAAGTCTGTGTAAGAGTGAGCAGCACACGCCCTGAAGAGGAAAACCCTAAACCCTAAACCCTAAACCCTAAACCCTAAACCCTAAACCCTAAACCCTAAACCCTCTACTTCATGCACTGCTCATGGGTTCGTTTATGGACCCTAAACCCTAAACCCTAAACCCTAAACCCTGAGCCCCTAAAGCCCTGAAGAGAACTACTCCATGCACTGCTCATGGGTTCGTTTATCAGATGGGTAGTTCTCTAAATTAAGGTTCCTTTCTGGGAGCCCGAAGTAAGGCGACATCCCTATGAAAAAGGACCCTAACAGGGACCCTAACTT